TATAAAAACACTTTGAAGAACTATTTGTCAAAAATAATATATTGTCAATACAATAAAACATTTCCCATAACACGTAATAGAATTTTCAACAGCGAATTAAAAAGAAGAAACGAGACCATAAATTGGCTGACAGTAATTGATGAATTTTTAAGAATTTCAAGAATTTTAAGAGCAATTTCCCGATATTCTCTTCATTTGGGGTGTGCCAGACATAGAAGGTATAACAGAAGGTTTTTGAACCACTGGATTTACTAACCTTTGGGTTATTCACGAGTAACCCCAAAAGGGTATTCTTTGATCGAACCGAAAAAAAACATTGTTTATTTCACGAGTTAAGATCAGAATGAATTGACCTAATTTGATTTTTAAAAACGCTAATGAGAGGCACAATGCGCACCACTACAAATACTAAACAACGTCTTATCAAACTAAGCAACCTTAACAGACCTCAATGAATTACGTTAAGTGAAAATGCCAAGAATGGATAAATAAGTATTATCCTAGCATCAAGTATCATTTATGGATAATGCTAAAGTCCCCAAGTAATTTTAACTATATTGTTTTCTTTTGATTTAATACTTCTACTAACACTATTTTTCATATCATCAATCTTTATCGTTATGATGGATTTTGTGTTATTAGTCTACTGAAGGAAAACAAAATACAGTCGGATTATTCTCAACATTACTATGATTATCGAACGTTATTGCCTGCGTCTTTACAGCAGCATTTGTATACTTCCCATATAATTATTTAGAATGTAGTAAGACGAAGTAATGTAAGCCTATTTTGATAACTTCATCGATCGTTCTCCCCAGTTGTCTGCAGAAGTTTTTTTTTTAAAGCTAAGTACATGTAGAACATGTACAAGTCTTATGGAAATGGTGATTTACTAATATTACTTCGCTTTAGGTCCCTGGTAATTATATTTACACAATGATACTTCCTTATTCTTTTGTAAACATGAGGTGATTTGTTGGAATCATCATTGTTATATTTGTTGAGGTTTTGTTCCCAATTATTGTATCAAAAGGAACTCGTATGTAAATATGTACAACTAAATCATTCATACCCCTTGTAAATTTGATGGTTTTTTGTGGTAGAATATGGGCCTGTGTTTAATACTTTTAGATGTAAGCTTTGATATGTCACATTCTCACGAAATATAAATCAGGAACAAGTGCATTCCTCAAAATACCTAACAAATCAAGAAAATTGTTAGGGGTATGAATAATTTAGTTTTTTAAATCTATATTCTGTGAAAAAAAATATTATTGAAAATGGCTAATCCCAGATATAAATTTTATCAACAAAATAATCTTCTTTCGGAAAATTGAAAAGGAGCGCTCCACCAAGAAGACAGTCCATGCTCAACTCTCACAAGACACAAGGCGTGTTTATAATTTCTAGAATACCCCATCTTCCAATGTATGTACACTGGAATGTTATCTCTCTCACACCCAACACGAAATTTATGTAGGCAATATAACAGGGAAATAGCCAAAAAAAAATATCAGTTAAGATCTCCTGCTCTTTTTAAATCAAATAGAGTTTGATAAAATACGTTACGAATTCTGAAAAAGCTGCAAAGCAGCATTATGAATAAATGAGTAAATATCACTTCTTCTTGATGGGCTATTTTTACAAATTGTCTTTACTTTGTTTGTATTATCATTCTATTGTTGTACCTCACTGTCAATGACAATCATCTCTCTCTCTCTCTCTCTCTCTCTCTCTCTCTCTATCTCTCTCTCTCTCCCTCTCTCTTTCTCCCTCTCTCTCTCTTTCTAACTAGTAGCTATAATTTCTCCCCTCCTATTAGTATTCACACCATACCCCCTCTTTATTTTCGTTGTTTCCACCCCCTCTTCTCTCTCTCTCTCTCTTTATTTTGCTCTCTCCCTCTCCTCAGCTATATCCCTCCGTACCTTTATTTCTCATTCCTTATATATTTGATATCACATGGGTAGGCTTATTAATATTCATGCAGTGAATAATTCGGTGTATTTTTCGTTATGTTAATACTTTATTTTATTTGTACAATATATGTTTATAGTATCATTGTTTATATTGTATTATTCTAGTTGTTCCTATAGACCAATACATGAATCAATAATGAATTAATATACCGAACATAAGTGTATAAACGATACTTTAAAATAGACATAATATTACCAAGGTTAAAATGGGAAAATAATTTCCCGAATTTATTTGGATATTATAGCACACTTTGTTTGTGCATTTTTCATTCACCAAGTATTTGTTTTAAAGTGTATGTCTAAATATATCATTACAATTAAACTCGTTGCTCACGTAGCCTATTTTATAGTCTGTGTACAGCTATCGTATCATAGCAATTGTAAAAAAACGTCTCGTGTAAATATTATTACTTATGCAACGTGACTGAATGTCGTTTAGCAGCCATTTTTGAGGGGGAATCTAAATTTGCGCTTTTTCTATGATCGACATGGCCCTGCTGATGTCATGACCGTCATCGTTAGGAAAACAGAACCTGACGGACCAATATTCGACACCTTTTTCTTTGGAAGCATCTCTCAGTGGGATGACTATGTACACAGTGAATCATCATAACCATAACACCATTGACAGGCTCGGTTTTCACCCTCGAAAAAAAAGTAGATGTGTGTGCAAGACATAATGGCATTTTTTAAATATATGCAACGGTTTTTGTACAACAAATATGTCTGATTACATTCGAAGCTTGTATGTATGTTTCAAGAATATGTATTTAAAACAACAAGGATTCTTGGTGACGTTTCCCTGATCGATTTAAACAAAAGAATATTCTGTGCCCTATCATAATCTTGCCTATCTATGATTATTTTAATTTTTTAAAGCAGATATTTCTCTAAACGAAAACAATTTTTTTTATCGACAGCCATGCCATGAAAATCATCTTCCATTTTCATTCATATAGCTAAATACATAATTCTCTTATGAATGTATGGAGGTGTTGACACCCGTGTTGACATTCAAAGTCCTACTATATTTTTGCTTATTTTTCTAGTATTGTCATACAGATTATCACATTAACGTATAATGTAATCATGTAGTGACATAATATGCTTCTGGGGCAGGAGGCGTTTATCAATTATTATATTATTATTGAAAGGACAATATATTCAGAGGCGAAAGATCTAATTTAACAACAAAAAAAGCCTCGTGATTGATAAATGTAGACCTACTCTCTTATGTCAGGCTGAACCACGCTGTTTATTTTTAAAACGAACAATGGATCTTGTCCATAATACGTATAAGCGTTAATATAAAAAAAAGCACATATGCCTATACTTCACCCTATAGCATGTCTTCTCGTGGCAAAGGGCATTTTCGTAATGTAATCAAATTGTTGAATATTCCTTTGTGAAGAGGCTTGGTACGAATTATGTTGTTCATCTGTTACGAATAAATGTACCTCATTAACCAGAAATTCAAATGAATGAAATCATTAGTATCGAGGCACTTAAGTATAAATTTGGTTACTTGAAGAATATGGCCTATTGTGTAACTAAAGTGGTGTGCATTATACTGATAATTGTATACAAGATAAGTGCTTTATCACACGATAACGTGACCTGTGTTTGATAATATTCTGCTGTGACCTACTAACTCGACACGTGGGTATAGTTTTCTGACTCGGTGAGTTCTACATTTTGTCAATGCTAATTAATGCATACCTTAATAACCAGCAAAATCATGAAGGTCAGAAGAATATATTGCTATTTGAGTGATGCTATTAACCCAGGCAAAGTAGAGCAATATTTCTTTACGTACATGTATATATAGAGTAGAATGCAATGCATATTAATCTAAATTATATGTGTATAACTAGAAACGATTTGATAACCGAGTTTGTATATTATGGAGTAGTAGCCTTCATTTAAGGCAAGCTAAGACAGTTTAACAATGTAAAACTGCGCTTTAAACACATTTATTCAATTGGTCAATTATTTGATATTTGTACTTATTAATCTAAGGCATTTATTTCCCTGCAGCTTTCTGTTTGTTTCCCCTTCTTTCTTACTTTTTCTTGAGAACTTGTATAGAGGTGTAATGCGCTATACATGTGATGTATAAGAACAAACTCCAAACCGACTCAACATCAACCGAGTCTTGGCCATTCAGGGGATAAGGTAATTTTTCTCGATCTGCTGTCGGCCTGAGTCGGTCACGTTGGATAATGCAATATAAAGGCAACTTTAAAAAAAGAGGTAAATACTTTTCCAGTGGGCCTGCTTTGTCACCTGAGAAACAGTTATTCTATTTCCTAAATAAGCCAGTTCATAGTTGCAGTTTGAGCACGAGCAGATAAAGGTGATTGTAGACCAAATTGTGAAATACACGGAGACAAAATACTTGATACGTGCTCATGAAAGTTATTTAATCATTTTTCATTTATGTACAAGCAGTGCACTCCATGATACACAGGTGGAAGTATTCTTTGAAAAGGGGAAACAAAGGGTATTTATGTAGCACCTTCATCGCTGTAGGAGTGATTATTTCAAAATGTACAAAGTGGGACCTCTTCATGTTTTGAAGATCTATGGATATTCGGGGTCATTTGGGACTTGTGCTAACCGTGAACTGGTCTATACGGGACTGTTACGAATCTTACGAATAATCATTTTTTTTTAAATAAGTTAATGTTGCACACGCGCGGCTGATTTGAGGTGCTGAAGGAAAGGTCAATTAAAACACAAAGTATGGGTAACATTTTTATTGTGGTGCTGTAAGGTGCTGAAGATGATGATTCCAACAATGTGGAATCATTTCGTTATAAAAAGGATTCAATTGGAAATGATTTAAACACCCAGTCATGATTTCACATCACTGGGTAATCAATCATTAACCATACTGCAATTATACTTTTAACGAACTATAGCATGTTAGTTCTAAGAAAGTATTATAGTAAAGCAGTAGCGAGAAAATATATTTGAACAAAGTGAAAGCAAAAGCCAAGAAAACATGAATTGCCTTACCTGTCATCGCATCTGTTGGTGGGGTTTCCATGGCGAGGTATTCCAAATGTTAATTCCCAAGATTAGAACAAGACCAAACAGTCTCCAAATAAATTCGCTTGAATAGTATTCATGTTTCCATTTCAAATTTTCCAACGGATTTTTTCATGAAGAAGTCTCATGCATGCTTTTACCTTGGTCACACCCCAAACTCCAAACCGAGCTTATTCTTATTACCCCTCTGGTTTATGCAATTGTCTCTGATCGGTCTGTTGTCGTTCTCGGTGGTGTGTGTGTGACTTGACGGGTGTCACAGCCTCAATTCACCTTCCCTTTGTGACCGACACTATTGACAACTCTAATCACTTCCTTCTCACGCTTGGAAGTATCACTGCAGCGACACCCGGCCGTTTCCTTATCCAATGTTCTCGGCCAGCTCAATACAACGACAAGAGTCGTTCACCTTGTCTGACAAGTCACGCGAAAATGTAACAAAGCAGGCGTCCTCAAGTAACGATGTAGGCTTCAATACTGCTTTCTCAATAGCCACAATATATATATATCAACCATTTGGAGGGGCATGGATTTGTAGTGTATTCTAGGTCCACAGGAGGAGGAAGTAAACAAACGTCTGTGTCATTTTTCCCTATATTCACAAATTCTAAAGTAGATTATGTTGACGTTTTCACATCTAGCGAGTTAACTTAGTCATGGATAGGTAACCATCCTCCATTTACGTCTTGAACTATCATTCAAATAAAGCATCGACCCACTCTTGCAAAGCACGATCGTCGTTTCTCTAGATTTCCAAATTGAAAAACTGGCACTCCTTGACTGAAATCCAAATATTATGGTCGATGAGTTTCGTTACACCCTCCAAAGAAACCAACGGTAGGGAAGAGTGAACGCAGACACAAAAAAGTTCATCAAAAATCATAGACAAATCAGTGTGAACGGTTGATTGCGATTGAAGGTGTGGGCCGAGTGACGTCCACTAAATGTGTCATTACAAAATATTAACAGGTTAAAATAACCTTGACAAAGATTCGCAAACATATTTGGTGGTGAGATACTTAGCTGTCATGAAAAACGATATCAAAACGATATCCCGTTCACGGATAAAATATGTTTCCAATCGTCAGGATGGTGAGGCAGATAAGATCGTTGAAATGAGAAAATTAATGAAGATAAATAGCTCGAGAAAATAAATGAAGATAAGTAGCTCAATCAAACTAATTAACAAAGAAGATATATGTTAAAACCATTGGAACTACAAGTAGGCTACATGTATTTGTTCAATGTTCTATAAACTAAAGTGTCGTAGAAGCTATGTCTGTGTAAAAGGTCACGATAGAGCCTATCAGTTAAGTATCGTTGTTTTATTTTATCTCAATGCTCAGAAAATTGTGTGATCAAGTGCCTCCTAGTCAACGATGCAGACTCCAAGAGTTCACCCAAATAAAACAAATACAAGTCGACATATCCAGAAAATTCAATCCTTCATCAGCGTGATCTCTCTAAAAATTAGACTAGCTGGCATCCTATTCGGTCATCCATAATGTTTTTCTTTTTCAGCGTTTCTAATCACTATAAAACAGCTCCATGGCTACAGATCTTTGAGGAGATGATAACCCCAAATTCGTGACTTAAGTTGTCTAGTGCATCTGTATGGAAGCCATTATGTACACTGCTTTGTTTTTATTATCAACCTCAATATGACTTAGCAGTTGACTACTACAGTCTTGCACTATCTATCATCAATGCATGTCATGAGGGGAGTGTCATAGAACCATATTTGCTTGGTTTTCTCATCAGGAGCAAAGTCCAAACCTGAAGGTCCAGTTGATTAAAATAGAGCGATGAGAACGTGTAGTAATTGTCAAATAACGTGAGACCTGGTGACGTTACACGTGGTTGGTTCCTTTTTGGGTGTGTTCGTACGAGATTTTATGTTTCTTGTTCATACGAGATTCCCGTTTTATGTTGTGCATAACTTACTCGATCTGAAAAGTTGACAATTTACAGAAATTCTGCTTTGAAAGTAGCGAACATACCCTATGGAAAAAAACGAGTAGCCTAGGAACAAACGACTGCCATTCTAAAAAAAAATATATGAATCAATTTTCATATTTAAGTTTGAAAATTTGCTAGCATTATGGGTCTTTTTTCTTTCCTGATTTGACATTAAACACATGCCGCAATAAAGCTTTCTAACTAAAATATCTTGAATAAGTAAATCCGGAATAACACATATAATGGACGCAATCAATGTTGACGAAATAATGAGAATTAGGACATCGCTTGTGATGATATTGTGGGGCAGTGTTGCAGCACTTTTTACCCAGGAACGTATATGGGTATTGTATTTGCACAATCTATAGGACCATCATGAGACTTCTCAAAACCCACCTTTTGAATCAGTTATAACATATTCCATTCAACTGAATTGTATTTAATCAGTTATATTTTATTTTATTTTATTGCTTTCAAGCTATTGAACATAATTATATATAATTGTTTATAGACAGTACCAACCCAGAAACTAAGAAGCTTAGAAACGCCTATATATATATATATAAGGCGCCCTATGAATGTGATTATTATTATTATTAATTATTATATTGACAATGCAGTAAAGCAATTCGCGTTGATGCACAATTTTTTTTCAACTGTCGGAAAACGGAAATTACTTACATTATTAAATTCGAGACAGGTGATGGGGATTTTTTTTTTTAGATAATTGGCCTGATTACTTTCAGTTATCTTAAATGTTTGATGTCTCTACGCCATAGTAACTTAATTTGATGTGTTGATATTAATTTCTGTATTTAATGCTGAAATAGGAAATATTCTTTATCAAAATTATACTTTGAAATATTAGCTTTGTCGTAGTAGCTCTGCTACAGCGAGTGATATATTGATAGGGAGTTTACCTGGTTGCAATGAATTTCGGCAGCGCGGTTATTTAGGTCATTACATGCTCTTATTCTGGTGTAAGTCGGGGATGTTAACGAAGCTAGCTGAGAGAAACAGTAGATGTAAGTTTCTACTTCATCTCCTTTTTATGAAGTGTTTTCATGTAATGTTATTATAATAAGAAGCTACATTTCAGGAAGAGTAGTTGTCAAGGAGACTTGTATAATGTTGAATTTCATTACTTTTACTTATAGAAAGTTAAATTGGTTCACGGACAACGTGGTTAGTGACCTTGACTTTTTAAGGGGAAAGTTTTCTCGAAAATCTAGATTTTATTCCTTATATGAACTACATATTATCCTTATGCAGTAAAAAGCTGATTATTGGGAAATGAGGAACATTATTTGGAATGTTTGCTTTACATTTAATTTTCTTTTATTGATTGAAATCAATCGAAAACTTAGATCAATTGGAGCCGTGTTATTTTCATGAGGACGTAGCGGGCGTGCGCATGTAAACATTGTATTTTAAGATGGTGGCGCCCGTGCCCATGTCATGGTATGAAACGTTTTTGGTATTTATCTGTATAAAAGTTGAACCAGTATTCACAATGTATAGTGCAATTAAGTTGTTTAAATTAATAGTGACATATGTTTGTTGATCACAACTCTTTAATATGATTTGATGAATAGATGCATTAGGACTTGATTTTATTTAGACAAAAACAGTAGTGTAGACTGTAGTGGATTTAATGGTCGTGTAGTTATATGTTTTTAGCTTGACCTGTGACAGGCATCGTGAGTGAAGATGACCCGTTTCCTGCCGGTTCTAGACATGTCGGTTGTTCACGGTTGGTGACCACCAGTAGCCTTTTGACTTTGGGTATGCATTTATTATTACATTTTCTAAATTCTACTTCGCACAATTTGTTGAAAGATGTTAACTGTGTCAGATAAATGTTTAATTTAGGAATATAATTCAGTAAAGACTATTTGTGTCAAGAAAATATTGTTTTGAATATACACTGAATGTAATTCATGTATGCATATTTGATATAGATTGTAAGGCTCAATCAGGAGAAAGTGTTTGATATTTAACATCTGGATGCTTTGATTAGAAATGAATATTGTTTAAAGACATCGTTTGACAATGTTAAATCTGATATGCATGGCCCTACGTGTTATCAATGTTTGTGATAAGGTGTACTATTGAAGCCCTAAACAAATTGCGCTTCAAAATGATTATGAAGTGCCTCAAAAAAGTAAAATATCTTTGAGTGACTGGTGTTATCATACTCATTTCCTCCCAATAAACTGTAGTGTCATATAAACCGTCAGGAAAACGAATTTTTAAATTTCGATTTCCAATCATAAATAACTTGATAATGCGACAGGCAATCGGTTTGTAAAAGTCATGGGGTTCCTGACTGACCTAAATGTTCAATAATTATCATTGCAGCATGAGCTAAATCCAGGATTTTGTTTCAGAATCTGAGACAAAGTTACCCAATCCCTTCAATGGAAAATGTGTCATTCCGCATTTATTATTTGTTTAATGATGTGATACATTGAAATTATGTTATTTATCACTTGTATTTTTTCTGTTCTTGCACGGTTTTTCTGTTGATGCCAACTTCAATAAAATCATGAGGCAAAAGTCTGGTGTCCCTGAGCTTTAACCGAGTTCACTCTGCTCCCTAACACGGTCAACCCCAGGCATCTCATTCAGCCCACCACACGACACTACCTTCTTGTAATACGTTTGCATTCCCATTACTCTTCTTTCTTTCTCTGCTCTTTGCCCCTCTTTCTCCTCTTCTCATTTACTAATACCACAACAACGGAACAAGACTGTTATACCAGCAGCAGTTACAACATCACCGACATCAACAACTAATATTAGAACTGCTACTGTCAATAATATTAATAACTGCAACATTAACAACAATAACGATAATAATAATAATGATAATAATAATAATAAATAATAATAATAATAATGATAATTATAATAATAATAATAATAATAATTATTATTATAATAATAATGCAACAAGACAAGCTCATTATTAAGCAGCTGTAATATATAAAAGCCATCGTTAGAGCAGCAGTTACAACATCACCGACATCAACAACATCAACAACTAATATTAGAACTGCTTCTGCTAATAATAATAACTGCAACATTAACAACAATTACGATAATAATAATAATAATAATAATAATAATAATAATAATAATAATAAAGTAATGATAATAATAATAATAATGATAATAATAATAATAATACAAAAAGACGAGATATGTTTAAAGCAGTTGTGATATAAAAGCCATCGTCAGAAAATGGAGAAAAAAATGACTTTAAAAAAATGTACAAACTTCGACAACTGATGGCGCTTGCCTTAAGCATGCCTAACCTATATTGACCGAGTACAACCACGGCGTTGCAAAGCTCATATGAACTTGGGTAGACAAGAAATGAAAATATTGCTTCATCACACTCAGTTTTTTGATATACTATAGTCAGTTTTTAATGAGATCAAATTGCTTTCAGTGTCCAATCCGAGGTAGGGTGGGGGGGGGGGGGCAACGGGGACACGTGCCTCTCGGCTGATAAAGAAAGGGGGAGGAAGAAGAGGGCCCATGAGCCTATTTTATTCTTTGCTTATTCCATAATTTTCTGACTTGTCTCCCCCTTGCCAGAGAACCATGTATCTGCAACTAGCTTCGACGAAAATCACTAAAATGCAACATTTTATACGATTTATTAACACATCTATCGATTATTTTTTTCCAGTTGTTTTCAAACAGAGAAGTTTCATTTTAAGTCCAATTTCAAACCTGCTCTGCAAGAGAGTTTCGATAAACACTGCATGAATTCAGTTCTACATAACAACATGTATACATAACTATCAATAACTATCAAATATATGAAAATCAGGGGAAAATCAATTGCTATTCATAATTAAATAACAAATAAACAAAGGAGAAAAAAATTAAAGTGGAAGGAAATAATACAACCCACTCAATCTGAGTTACAGGATTTTAGGAAAAACTTCGAAAATATGAACTTGGTCTAAAAATATATTTAGACACCACTCGCTGTCCTGAACACACAAACACACTGAACTCGCAAACACCAAAACAACATGAACAAAATTTAAAAAAAACATTATCAACAACCACAACATTCAGTAATACTGTGTAAAGTTTTTCATAGATTACAGGATGTATGACGTCATGATGAATGTGGATATTTGGGCAACGTAATAATGAATATGGTAATAATAATGGGTATTATTATCTGCATGAGCCTTATCACTGTCGGAGTGTTCTGTGCTCAAAGAAAATATGACACTGTTGATTCCAGCAGGTTTCTGACAGTGCTCTTCTTTTGTACCAAGAATATGTGGGTTGGTCTAGTGGTCAACCCACTGGCCACGCCTACAAAATGACCAGGGTTCGAATCCAGGCCGTGCCTTTTGGATCGTGGTGTTAAAGATCAAAGTTGAGGTCAGGGGTGTTTCACAAAGACTAAGATCAACTTCAAGTTGGACTTTACTATGGCAGGCCATTCATGCCACTGTTTGCTTTCACCTTTTACTGGCATTGGTCTCTCAAGGAACATACAAATCATGGTTAAAACATCTACAGAATTTACATATTTTAATAATTCATTATAATTGAAGGAAAAAATAAAACACAAATATCATAATGGTGAGAGCAAACAGTGGCATGAATGGCATGCAATATTTAAGTACAATTTAAAGTTGATCTTAGTATTCGTGAAACACCTTGGTCATTTAATAACACTGTTATAAACAAAAACTACCTGAAGCTATTGACAATGATTGGGTAAGGCTGACTTCGTAGCCTACAAACTTAAAGAACAGATGCATACTGTGAAGTTAAAAAAAAAATCAAACTGGCAAGAAAATAACTCAAACGACATACATTGCACACAGAAAAGGGAGGCGTGGATCTACACACAATGGTCACATACATATGACGTTCAAGTTTGGTCCACACATTTCAGCTATTTCTGATTTTTTTTTTAATATGAGAGCATTTGACAAGCGATCCTATTTCTACTAAGATATTTATACAAACTGACAATAACAGAATGAGAAAGCTTACAAGTAATTTTTTCATCTTTCTTTTCTTCTTCAGAAACTCAACATCCTCTTTCACGTCTGTGAACAAAGTTTAATCATACATCCCCACACAAACACACACACTACCCGCGCACGTAAATATTCCACACTCACACCCACACACACAACAGAAGAAGATGAACACTTTACATATTGTATGCATACGGGTTATACATGCATTGAGATGAAGCTGTGTGTCATTTAGTATTCGACTTTTTTTCTCATTATGAACAGATTGATGTAGAAGTAAAATGAAAGGTGAAACCGCTTTTATCTTCAGCGATTTGGGGCTTCTTACAGTACACGCGGTACTCTTTACATGACGGAGTTTAGAAAATGTGAATTCTCTGAAAGCGGTGATACCTAAGGACTTTCATCTTTGTGATAATAATTTGAGAATTCTTACATTACATGCTGCACTGTTTGTGGTGTCCACGGAAATGAGGAAATTTCATGTTCATTAAAACACCTTTCCAAAAATTGACATCTTCTTTCGTGGAACCAAGCTTGCCGATTCGAAGAAGTAGAAGAGTCTTGACATGTCTACCTCTGAAATCTCGAACTTGTCTGGCTTTTCCAGGCTACCGCCGATGATCACAGTGTCTACAAGCCTGAATGTCGAGGGTTGTGTTTTCTGGAAGGTGTCCATCCTGCCACGAACGACTCCTGGATTCCATTCACTAATGTCATGAACAATCACCGCCAACTTCTTCTTTCCTGGAATTTCAGAAATGGATGGACACATGGCCAAATTGGCATAGAATTTGAATTTCCTGTTTTCCTACAAAAAAAATTCATTTTCGTCTTTCTTTGGAACGTAGGAGGGTCTATAGGAAACCAATATCTTTAGATTAATATCTAATAACTTTAGTTTATATTACCTTACATACCCACTCGATCCCTCCGCTCTGCATCTCAATACCTCATTGAACCCACGAAAGACAGGACCAAGTCATACGGATCCAGAAGATTCTCATCTGCAGCTTCGCATCTCTGGAACTCTCTCCCCACTACCTTCCGAACCATCACAGACTTAACTTTCTTTCAATCTCAACTGAAAACCTACCTGTTTAAAAATCCTTTCTAATGTCATTTAAACTTTATTATTGTATTCATCAAAATGTTATTACATTACTGTACTTTTATATAATTTGCCTTCATCTCTCTGTAATTGATGTTTATAATGACTGATTATTATTAATGTTTTCCTTATTTTGATATTTATTTAGTTCATGAATTAGTAATTAATATGTGTAATTTTGTTGTATTAATATATTGTAAAGCGCATTGTTATTTTCTTCGAAGATGAAATGCGCTATAGAAGTCTAGGTTATTATTATTATTATTATTACTCATATATTTTCAGTAATTTATCATCGCAAGAAATTGAATGTAAAGTCAAATGTAAAAAGCTTTTCTTTTTTCTCCTGCATTTTGCTTGGCTATAGCTATATATACCTTTTTTCTTCTTCTTTTCTTTCTGTCTTGAAATAATGAGCAACATTAATTTTATGCACACAAATTACTTTGTACAAAATATGAGTACACTATTTGTGATGGTGCTTATCAATCTTTGCTCTAAGTGAAATCGAACATCCAGCATGCCCAGTACCCTCAGCTCAGACTGTCATTCACTCTAGAATAAACTATGACAATTGTAAACCTAGCATATGTCTGTTACGAGTTTACTCACCTATCTCTTTGGAACAATGCTTCAGATATTTATCGTAGATAGAATTCACGACGTCTGTGATTGAGAATCCTCGATTGCGAACCGAATGGCAAAGCACCATCACATCGACCGGGTCGCTTGAAGGAAACTTGAACGAATCGATATCGTTGTACGGTAGGCTCCGAAGACGGATGTCGGCGATCAAGCGTGGATGATCTGTTTTCAGCTTCCTAAGCCAGAAAATCAAGCCCTCGATGTTTTGCTCGTATGAAGAAGTACATACGGACACATAGATCGGCAACGATGGACTCTGCTGCGCAGGAAGTTGTTGATGGTGTTGTGCAAGATGCTGTGTAGGAAGTCGTAAAGGAGGTTGTGAATGGCTTTGTTGTCCAGGTTGATGTCCAGCATATTGTCCAGTTTGTGGTCCAGGATATTGTGCAGGATTATGTGGTGATGTTATTGCGATGGCTTGTCCAGAACTACATGATTCGAATTTCTCTGAAAGAAAACAAATACAAATTGTACTAAAAATGTAATTCAAATTTTGTTTGTTTGATAATTATAAACTTAAGAAACAAATGTCATGATCTAGGGAACATCAGCCTCTTCTGCAAGTGGTTTTAACATTCATTGTTTATTGAGATTTTCTTGCTTACACAATTTAGGGCGTATGCGATATCTTAATTAAAGTTCACACACACACACACACACTCACATATTGCATTATATTGTAGTTTATCAGTCTCTAAAGTCTAAACGATCAAAGTTAAGACTTTTATATTAACCGACTTCTTCCATACCGCCAAAATATTATCGGAAGTTAATGTCATTGTCATAATGAAATTCTTCCAATTTAAACTGAACATATATTCTTTTGTTTTGCAAAACATACTTAGAAAACTGGAAACACCACCAGTCTTCATTTCCTCAGGCTGTTCGGAGGCTCTTGTCAAGAAAGCGAGGAGTTGTGCCTTGGAGGGTTCAGGAAATTCTTTCCCTTCGACCAGCTTCCCACATATCAGAACTAGACCTGCGCTGTCAAAGGTTTTTGGTTGCTGGAGCCGAAAATTAGCAATGCGGTCCTGTAAGTCCTGGTCATTCACATTGTCGAAGTCGTGAGCTATTACCGCAATCTTCTCTTTTCCTGGGAATTATGTTCATAGAATGATAATAAATGTATTTGACTGTATACAAAGACATGAATTCATGGCATCAAAAGTCCTAGTTGATCTAACAAAGCGTCGGAAACATTTCTGTTGCTGCCTAAAATCTAAAAGGTTTTGATCAACCTTTTAGTTGCAATTCTTTGTTTACTCCACTGAAATGGAAAACAAAATAATGATGATGATACTACGAATAATAATATATAAGTTTTGTGTGGCGCCAAATCAACTTAAAATCAAATGCTCAAGGAGTATTTGTGAAAAAGACAAATCACATGATAAGTTACTCAGTTGAAATATTTTACATGAAAAGCATCGTTAAAGAGACTATGATTGCTATTGTTAAGTGTAAACTCAAAATTTCTACAGTGTAAAAGATGAATTACCTAGAAGCTTTTTGCAATTCGGGAGGAACTTATTGTAGCAAGCATCAGCCACGTCGGTGAGAGCAAATCTTCTGTTTGCGATGGAGTGGCAGAGAATCATCACATCCACATGGATTCCCTTGGCAAATTTATAATTGTCGATGTTGTTGTAAGGGAGTTGATGGTAGGTAACATTCTTGATGAGATGGGGAAGTTGTCGCTGGAGATCCCTCAGGTGATCCAGAAGACCTTGGATGTTATACTCGTAAGATGATGTACAAAGAGTAACCGAGACTTGATGTCGGTTGGATCCAAGCCCTGCCATGGTGGATTGTCCGTGGAAAATCAGGTCCGGATGTATTCCTGATATTCAGGTCCTGATGATCAGGTCTTGTACTCAAGAATGACGACTCTGTCCTCTGGTTTTGAAGTCTAATCCCTGTTGGTCTCGGTTGCTCCACGCCACCGTTTCACCAATTGCACCGTCAGAGACAAAGGGGTGATACCTTGTGGTCCGGTCTGTCCAGGAATCTCTAAGCAGTTTGATCCGAAGAAGAAATAAATGGTAAATGTTATTGTTTTTTGTGAAATTTAATCTAAGAGGCCATGGTACGTGGTATTTTGAACGTATTAATACACTTACGAAATCTATGAACATCTGTATTTTCCTTGCGTATTGTAATTGTAAGGACTTCAAAACAATCATTTTCCAGGTGATGGGGAAGGGGCATATGTAGAATACAACCCATTGACATGCCACTCGATTTTAACGGATTCGTTGTCGGAGTGACTACTTTCAACAACCTTGTAGAAACATATAATGGATATACCTAGTCTTAGTGAACATTTAGGATAATCATTGCGATATCAAAACAGACATAACAAGTAATCGGTTGATCAACTGAAACTCACCGTTCTCCACACACTCTTCTACATTGGTTGATTGGGTATTTGGCGATGTCGCTAGGACATCATCGGTCTTCCTTGGTTGCAATCTCCGCTTTCAAGTACTGCTCGATTGTCTACTTTCGACATGGGGGAAAACAAAAGCAAGCAGATCTTAATTGGACCAAGCACTAACTAAATACATGTTTTTTTCAGCGAATAGCTTAGACTACTATTTAGTACTATGATAGTGTAATAATAATCATTAACCAATGGTATTTTTGGCTTCTTGCAAAGAAGTGCATGACCGTAGCTCCTTTATTTCTTGACTGACAACAATATCAATTCAACTTTTTATCTGACAATCTTTTTTATGAGTATATTAATATCTTTATTTTTGATAATTTTCGACCTCTTACGGGATGACTAGAACGCGTTCTCTGTATTGGTTTTGCAGTATAGGAAAATATTTGGTAGGTTCAAAGCTCATGCAAACTGGTAAAGTGTAATCCAGCTATTACATACACATAATACGAATACAGAGGAAGAGCTATACAAACGATTTGTATTTTCTCTACATACATTTCGCAGCACTGATTACATGTGTGATAACATATTCTAGACGTCAATTGATTTTACACTGTAAGCGTTATTGTACGCCTTAGCTACCAAGCTACAATCCCCCCCCCCCCCAACACGGGTTATTTGCTAAGTTATGAAAAAAATGATAGCAGGGTCTACTACTAAACACTGCCAAATGCAGGCAGAGTCGATCAGAAAAATGACTATAATTATTTGGGTAATTAATTACCCAAAGATTGAGGCAATTTCATTACCCATTATTTCATTTCTTATTATCATTATACGGCTTCATGCACGCACTTCTAAAATTATTGTATTAGTATAAAATCATATACATACCTCGAATTTGATGAATGCGTGTACATAACGGAAACTAAGATAATCTATATACACACGTAACACTGTACATGAATGTAGGGCCTACATACAGAAAACGGTTATCCTCAAGAAACGGGGAATTCCCGCGGTCACCCAGAACATTCCAAAAATTAGTCGCCCTCCCAGCCTGTGACTGTATGCATTGTTTCTAATAAGAAAATAAAAATTGTACACCTATACAACTGTGGGTATAATTATTTTCCACTCAGCCTGTGACTGTTAGCATTGTTTATAATAACAAAATTAAAAAACTTGTCCACCTATTAAACTATGGGTATAAATTATTTTTCATACCTTCAAATTGTCTTTAGAATAATACAAGTGAAACTAACAAGCCTACATCCCATGCCGATGAGCTACATGGACTGAAAAGTCTGCTCATAATCCGTTTACTCATGTTTTTCAAAAATATATAAACTAATCACTTGACTTTTGCATCTAATTCGCCTGCTAAACATAATAATAGGGCTTTAGATGAAATGCATTTTTTTTTACACTATCTGATGCTAGGTTTGACAAGTCTCTGGAAAGATGTTGGGTTGTCAAGATTATTTTTTTCAAATGCATGCATAAAATTAGTAAAAGGTCTATTCTATCATTTCAAAGTATTAAATTAGTAATCAATTTCAAAGTCGTGGATCCGGGGGGCATTAGACTATGTCGCATTAACTGCTCATGGTCAAGCAACCTATCTATCTACTTATCTATCCCCTTTTCTCTCTCTCTCTCCCTCACCTATTTCTGTCTCTCTCTCTCTCTACCACTTTTAGATGTAACATGTTGTATTTTGTTTCATTTATCTTTATGTCTCAGTCAGTGTAGCGTGTGTGTTTTCTATTTTTGTTTTTCCTGTATATAAAGTCAGTAGTTTAGTTCAGTTAAGCTACACGCAACAAGCATATAGCTATTGAGTATAGGTTCACTTTCGATCATTTTTTTTTGTCTAATGATTTACAGAACGTTCTTTCATGTTATTATTTAGTATGATTCAGTATAATTTATTTCTACATTTACTTTTCTAAATGTAAATGTGTTGTAAAATATATTATGCTTTAATTTTTTGCATGAAATATGAATAAAAGCAACCAACCAATCAATCAATCGATTATGATAATGTAATTTAGCATGCGGTGTGTTGGTCGGCCTTGTATCGGCCTCGTCGGTATGAGTGGGGTATCGTATTAATATTGCAAGCCTGAACCTTCACATCTTCGGTGAATGTCAACTTTTTACACTATATCACCTCACAACTTCAACAGCCACTGATATGTCAGATAGGTTCCAGTTTCGGCCGACAAGAAATAGTGTTAGAAGATGATATTTTATAAAAGCCTGTGACGTCGCCAGACGCGTAAGCAGGGGGGGGGGGTGGGTTGAACCCCCTCCTTTGGTATTTTTTATGTGTGTATTTTGGAGGAACCCCCCCTCCCTTTTTTTTAATTATAAAAAAATTAAAAAATTAAAAAAAAATTATACCAATGGCTGACCTAAAAAAGTTGACCTTACCCCCCCCCCCTCAACGGAGAAAATGTCAATTTTTCAATTTTCGAGACCCCCCCCCCCCCCCCCCCCCCCCCCGCAAAAAAAAAAAAAAAAAAATGTCCTCTTACCACCCAGCCAGAGGACAGAGTCGTCATTCTGGACAAGCCACCATGGCAGGGCTTGGATCCAACCGACTTCAAGTATATATATGTCCTATAAGAAAAATAAGGGCAACTTAACATTCTATAAAACAATAACATAGCAACAAAACCAAAAGAAAAAAAATCCAGAATATATGTATTCTTTATTGTATTGATATCGCACTGTATGCCTATTACGAAAATATCATGAGACTTAAAGCAGTTGAGTATAGCTATAATTGTTTTCCGTCTCTTTATTTTTAGCACCACTCTTTTGATAAAGCACTTGTGATATACATGTATATTCATCGTACAACAATAATAATGAGATCTACGTGTAATTTTGGACATTCGAAACAATAACCGGGAACCTGTACAATTATTGATAGGCCACTTGTTGACATAATGATATTCCCAACAACAATGGTAAATTGTTATATATTTTTTAAATATATATACAGTACGATGTACGTGTGAGCAGACTGAGTAATTACCATGGAAATCTACAAAGGAACCACTACAAAAGAAAGAATTAAGATAAGTTCAACCGAAAGGATGAATTTACATACTATCTACGATTTCTGAACTGAATGAAATATACAATGCCGTTATAAAGTTACACATTTCTATTAATCACAGGGATATACCACTGTATATGCATACATTTGATATCTACTTATAACTCTGTCAAATTCAAGATATATAATGCAGATATTAGAAGGCACAACAGCGCTTTTTCCCTGTAGTGTCATCAGAATAATCATACAGGTTAGTGCTAAAATCCTGTTTCCCAAAATGTATTCCATCAAGAGAGAAAGTATGTTTCACAATTTGTTTAGCACCAGCATATGTAGAATCGATACATTTATTAATCATGAAGTGTACATACACGCTTACAAGAAATCGGTTATTTCAAGGCAAAGCATTGAATGAACATTTTAGCACATTGAGCTGACAAAATAAGTTAAGGTCCAAATGGGCGGAATACAGTGTCACTATTACTATAAAGTTGATTTAAGTATGTCGTGAAAATGTTGCATCATCGGTAGTTCAAGTTCAAGTTCAAGTTCATTTATTTCCATTTCTCGTATAAAAATACATTTAACAATACATTATACATATAAGCAAATATATAAATATAAATAATACAAAGAATATGGAGGAGCCAGCAGAGGCCATTGACCTTTCAAAGGCTGGGCTCCAGTGTCCTCAGATAATAATACAAAGTACAGAGAAAAAAAAAACAATGGGTAGTAAATAAATAAACAAATGAGTACAGGCTAATTAAATTAAACATACGATAGGAATTCCTTCATTAAATAGTTCTTGTATTTACGTTTAAATGAGGCAACAGATGGGCACATTTTTATACGGGTAGGTATGCTTAATGCCCACGATACAGTTCCAATTGTTACGTTTTCATACTCTAATGAAATGAATAGCCAAGAAAAGCATTTCATGCAATGTAGCTCCTAATACATGATCAACATTGAAATAATACAGAAATATAAAAATATATATTTTTTTAAATAAAAACATTTAATCTCAGCAATGTGACAGTCACAAGCGTTATGTTTTCAGGAAAATATCATCAAATCGAGTCCATCGCAACGACTTCGGGGGGGGGGGCAAGGTCACTTTTTTTTTAAAATTAAAAAATAAAATTTAGAGAGGGGGGGGGGGGGGTTCCATCAAAAATCACACACATACAAAAATTTGACGGGGTGTTCGACCCCCCCCCCCCCCCCCCGCGGCGTATGCGCCTGGGTACGTGTATTGCGTTATTTAGTCTACATTACAGGCGAAGCAAATGAAAGTCTTAAAAATTGTTTTAAAAATTAACAAAAACTAAAATAGATCATTCTTTATTTACTGTATATCTGCATGATTAAACTGTTCATAATTATGTACAATGTAAATTCAACAGATCAAAAGTATAAGGAAAATTTGCAGTTATTAAGTGTATCAGATGCGAGCTATTATCAATTTCTGCATCCTCGTTGGGAATCCATTACCTTTGATGTAAGGATATGCAATTACTTTTGACGTATGTACAATGACCCGAGACCTTTGACATATATACAGTGTCAACTAAACAGAGCCTAAGACAAGAAATCACGTAATTTTGTGAGTGATGAGTGGGTATAAATGATTATGTATGAGGGGGTGCGGTAATAACATGTATTATATAATATATCAGATGCCGTATATTATCAAATTTCGCGTCCGCGTAATGACCTTTGACGCCCTGTCACCATCTGGAACTGCTGGAAGAAACTAGGTTTCGAATCCGGTACCTTTTGTAGGCAGACCAGAGACCAGACCATTGGACCAACTTATTTACCTACATGAAAAAATTTAGTCCTAAACCTACTTTAAATGAGGTAACCCGACTTCGTTTTTCGCTTACTTATCTAAAACATAAGATTTTTCTACCTTCTACCTTCAATTCCTTGGTGGTTTCTTATGATAATTCCTTGACAATGTTTACTAAGAACCTTTTGAATAATTCATGTTCAAAATTTTTCTCTTTGGGTTCAAGTCGCGCTTCTTCAAAGAAGAGTGTAAGTCGTGTCATATCTTCATCTCTCATTTCGATTTTGCCAGGGACCACCAGGCTTCCGCATATGATCACGGTGTCGACAAGTTCAAATGTCAAAGGTTGTGACCTCCTGAGCGATTCCATCCTGGCATCAAGGGTTTTAGTTTTGCAGTCGCTAAAATCGTGAACAATTACGGCCAGCTTCTTCTTTCCTAAAATTGTGAAGGAACAAAGAGGTAGATATGGATTATGATCCATGACCGTTTCACTGATAACTTTAATCTCTGGCCATTGATTTCTTTTCAGCCAATTTCGGTTTCCTGATAATTAAATTTGAGGTCTCCAGCAACTCTTAAACGAAGATAAGCTGATTAGAGTTTGGACAAATTAAATGAACGTTAAAGGTTACAGTATCAACTTTCATGAGTGAATGCAAATGAACATTATTTACAAGAAAGAATCCTAGAACTATAGGTAAACCAGTCCTGAGGGAAGTTCGTCTTTATTATTAGCATGGCCCCAATAGCACTCATGATAAAGTTTGAATTATCCATATCATGACTGCGTATCGAATGAAATTTAAATTGTAAAAAGAAAAGTTAACAGACAAGATAAGAAATTTTGATGAAACATGCATAAACATGGGAAAGAACAATCATGAAATCTGTCTAAATTGATGGAGCTAGAACTGATAACAAAATTACAACGTCATAATTTAAAAGTATTAACTTACCAACTACATCACGGCAATATTTCAGGTGTTTTTCGTAGAGAGCGTTCAGAACATTGGTGATTGAAAACCCTCGATTTTGGATCGAATGGCAGAGGACCATCACATCAACGGGGTCGTTTGACGGAAACTTGAATGAATCAATGTCGTTGTACGGTAGGCTACGGAAACGGACATCGGCGATCATATGAGGCTGTGCGGCTCGCAACTCGGTAAGCTTGGACATGAACCCTTCGACGTTGTACTCGTTTGCGGAAGAACAGACTGAGATTGAGATACGACGAGGCGATGGTGAACTATGGGTGTGTGCCGCTGCCGCCATGTTTGATGTGCCTGGTCTTTGCTGTCCTATGGGAGATGCTTCCCTCGATGAATTTAGTTTTCGCTCATCCACGCTAGCTTGTAGTGTCTGGTGAGAACCACCGAACGGGACTTTCTTCGTTAGACCTACACAACAGATATTAAGAAGAACAAAATCTAAATAGCTTGGTTCTATATTAGCATTTTAGGTAGCATAAAGCCCATCGCACACTCTGCAAAATGACTGTGATCCGACTTTGAAAGAACATGCAATAGTATTTGTGTTAACCAGTCAACCATGTACATTTTTAATCACTGAGAACGTAATACCCATATGCTTATTAGCGTTATGTACTGAATCCTTCAAGGTTATTCGAGGAGCGTATATACCATAACAACCAGCAGGAAAACAAAAGTCTTCTGAAATAATATGTATTATTATTTATCTATTTTACTGCGAAACATGATGATGATGATTATACGATAAGAGGACACAACTTTTACGCAGCTGTCTTATATCTAGAGGTAAATACGCAAAATATTATATGTATAACGTCACGTCACACAAATAACAACGTAAGAATATAACGTTTTGGTGTGTCTACTCACCCGTTACTTTTGCACGCTCAGTCGAATGAATCTAATGACGACTGTGGCCTCCCATTCTCCGCCTCGTATATAAAGATAAGTAAGAAAACCTATTTACCAGTTGCATGCACACACCTTAAACCATGCACATACACAATCGAGGGATGGCTTCGTGTGTGTGCCCGCTCTGCGCGAGAGTCATATCGATGACCTAATGTGGGATTCCCCTACGACGAAAGGTCACTGGGAATTCCCAAATACGCATAGCCTTCGTTCAGTCTGCAATGTTGTATTTCTCGCAGTTGTTGCTGTTTCATCACTGGCGTACTGGTGGTGGGGGGGGGGGGGGGGGGCTTGGAGGGGGCGCTTGTGCCCACAAATAACATTAAAACAATGACTTATTTTCAATTCCATACAAGTGATTTATAAATGTTCAACAAAATGCGCGCCATTTCTGTTGCAAACTGACACATTCCCAAATAGCCCGGAAGAGCATATTCTTTTTAAAGTCACTAATGGGCCAATTAGTGGCCACTATTAAACAGTAAAACTAGTAGAAAATTCCTTTCCAGAAGCTACTGCGACAAGTACTGCCGGGAGGCATTATTCTTTTCGGCGGCACAGATTGGGGTTAGGTGCGTGTTGAGTCTATGGGAAAGTTTAGGGTTGGGGTTAGGATTAGGGTCAAATCAAAACCTCTTTTTTTTAAAGCCCCAATCTGTGCTGCAGAAAAAAATGACGCCGGAGAAACAAGCTACCGGCTTATGCCGAACTGGTGGGTAGCGTCGCGTCGCGTTGATTTGGACGCGACCATTCGTCCAAAGCCCCCACCCCCCGGGTTTGGCCAAAAGGGTGCGTTGACTTGTCTTCCACATCAGTCGTTTATAAAAGAATTTAAGGAATATAAATTTAAGTCATTTAAATTCAAATAATCAATATACAATCAAATTAAAAATTAAATAAAACTATTTTCATATTTTATTGAATAATAATTTGCCAGTGTTTGTTTTGCGTGACTGCTAAAGCATGTGTATGCTACTACGCTTATTAACTAGGGTACCTACGCCATTAAGTCAATAAATGACAGTAATGAGGATTAATGCCCCACAAAAGGGCACTTATAAATCACATCGACACTGTCTTGCAGATCAGGCGTTTATAATAATTGAAATAATAAATAACAAGAAGCACAATCAAATAATTTACTTTGATATTTAAAAAGTCAAATGAAGGTGTTTACCCAGTCTTGCATATCAGTCGTTTATTTTTTAAATGAACAAACAAAAATATCCATTTCTTTCTATGTATGGAATTCAGAAAGCCCCCCCCCCCCCCTCCCCCAATTACGCCCGTTTATCCCGAAAGGGTGCATTAAGGCGGTAGGCTTGCTCCGTAATTTATTTATGTTATTTCATTTGTAAAGAATATTATGCATGACTAATTTAAATCAAAAAGTGGATTCTATACATAGAAAGAAATGGATATTATTTTTATTTGACAGTTTTAGATATTTATTGAATTTATTAATGATTTAATTCTTATTAATCTGCTTTGGACGAATGGTAGCGTTCAAGTCAACGCGACGCGACACTACCCATCCATTCGGCATAAGCCCATGCTACCCATCACCCGGGCTGTGCGTGCACAGATTTGCGAACGAACGTACATCATGTAACACTCCACGTGGACCGTTAAGTGGCCCAGTGGGGAAACTGAATTCAGACAAGGATTAACAGTAGAGAAGGTACAACGAATCGTCTTCTTTCTCTAATAATTTAATGAAAAGGCAAAGTTTACGCCCTTCGCGCGGGTTTGGGGCAACTGATTTCAGACTATATAAAGAGTAATAATTAAATGAAACGTCAATGCTTCCGCGTTTCGCGCGGTAGGGGGGGAAACTGAATTCAGACAAGGACACGATACAACGAATCGTCTTCTTTCTCTTATAGTTTAATGACACGTGAAAGCTTCCGCGCTTCGCGCGGGATGGGCGAAAATGAATTCAGAAAAGGATTAGGCCTAAGAAAATTAATTATTGAAACGTCAAAGCTTCCGGGGGGAACTGAATTCAGACAAAGATTAAGAGTCGAGAACGGTACAATGAATCATCTTCTTTCTCTAATAATTAAATGAACCGTCATAACTTCTGTGCTTCGCGCGGGAGGGGCGAAACAAGATATAAGAGTCGAGAACGGTACAACGGATCGTCTTCTTTCACTAATAATTTAATGAAGTGTCAATGCTTCCGCGCTTCGCGCGGGAGGGGAAAACTGAAAAAAAATAACTTACTTCCTGTCCCCGAGCTTATAGGGTTAAATTTGTGGACATTGGGACATTGGCATTAATATATTTGTCGGTAATTGGTGGCTAGTTTTGTCTGTAGTCAGTGGCCTCTACACCCCCTCCCCTAATAAAAAAAGGTCTAGCGACGCCCCTGATAACAACACAGTTTATACACTCGAGATAATTTTTAGAAGTACTACTGGTGAAGAACCGGACCACCGTCTTTGTACATTGTGCAGCAACAATGCATATACAACGTCTCACGATTTGACTGATCACTTTTGTATAACTTCTAACCAATCAAAAGGCCTCGTTTTTTTCCAGAAAGTGCCGGTAGACATTAAAGCGCCAAATGTGGTCATCAAATTGCAAAAGATCCCTACTCTTGGAGAAAGTAGGAGAAAGCAAGTTTACGTCATATTACTCTAGGAAGTGCCTGAAAATACGTCTAATGTGGTTCTAAAATTGAAGATGGTTCCTACACTGGGAGGGGGTCAGAACCCCCTCCCAGACCCACCCCGCTTGGTCGCTCTGCTCCCTCGACGCTAAAAGCCTCGCTCTGTCGCTTCATCGTTTTACATATATTTCACCCCCTGCCATTTTGTGTCCCCGGTAAGTTCCTGGATCCGCCACTGATCCCAATATCACATGAGCTTCGACGGCTCCGCCCCTTGACCCCCGCCGGGGCTTTGCCCTAGACCCCACTTTGAAAACGTTCAGCGGGGCCTGCATGTAAGAACGGTTTGCTCATTACGCCACTGTGTTTCATGTTTCATGTTTAATCTTAAATCTTAAATGGGAGACTACAGCTTGTTTTTCCAATATAAATGCAGGCTAAATATAGTATGATGATGATATAGGGGAGGGTGTTAGATAGGAATGTGTAGACAAATAGATGACCATGATATATATTCGTGTAATGAGTGTCATGTAAACTGAAAATTCCGTATGACGATCGTTGCACGAATATATCTGACTTCAAAAGCTAATTTCATATGAGCCTATTCTAATATTCAAACATCAACTTTACTATTCTGTACTTGTACTACTGAACATGATACTTCTACTTATACACTGTTGGTCATAATGGTGGAATAATTTTTTTACCCCAATTTATTGAATGATTTTGACATTGATTTATTCATAATAGATCTAGATAATAGTATACATTCTCAGATTTTATTGGATGACAATTGGGGAGTGTTTGTTTTGCGTGACTGCTAAAGCATGTGTGTGATACTATGCTAATCAACTAGGGGACCTACGTCCTCAAGTCATAACTGACAGTAATGGGGATTAATGCCTCATAAAAGGGCCCTAATATAGCACATCGACACGGTTTTGATCCTGGGGGCTCACAGTTACGAGGCCATTGCTTAGCCAATGAATCATGACTGTATGCAGCGGGCGCCAGGGTACGTCGAAGCCCCCACAAAAACAAAAAAAACAAAGAAAATGCAATAAATTTTCAATAATTCATTGCATTTTCCCCCAGTCCCCAACAGGAAGAATTCCTCTGTAGGGCCATGCATTATGGTTCAAGGCATGCCCACATAGAAGATTTTTTTATGTTGGGGGTCGGGGCAAAATGCAATGAATTATTGAAAGTTTATTGCATTTCCTTTGTTTTTTTGTTTATGTTGGGGCGTCGACGTACCCTAGCGCCCGCTGCGCACAGTCATGAATTATCGAGAAAAAAAGAAAGAATACAAATCAACGTGCAGCTACACGTTGATTTGTATTCTTTTTTTTAAAATACAATAAATGGCATTTATGATGTGAATATTTTAAAGTGAAAGTACAAATAACCTGTGCTGATACAATACTTGTAGTGATAAGATGTTTATAATCATATATGACAATGGATAAAGTAAGAATAAACCAATGTGAAAATCGAGATATTGCTAAAAATGTTATCATACCGCAAAAGCAAACTTCTTTCTCGTTCGATTTGAGTACAAGAGTGGTGCAGTATTTCATGTTGTAATTAAATTGTATTTAAATTTAACATAAATATATGCTCAACAAGCACATTTACGTTTTCTAGTTGGAATTTGTTTTACCTACCTAACATAAAAAAAACATTTACAAATAGGTATATAGGCCGACAAATACATAGTGCAAATTGAATGGAATGATTTCAGATAAAGTCTACACCCCAGTTCGGCATGGGACAGAATATGCTAATTAACGTTATTTAATGATTCCTTGAACATTCCAGTGACTGTCATCATACGCTAAATGAAATGACTGGCAATAAATCGTAACATCAAACTCTAGCTTGCTGAAAGTACCCAAACACGGTTTTTCAGGATTCGTTATGTCGTCGGTGGATGAGGGTTTAGGCTGAATAACGATTAAATTAGTTTTTATAAATCTTTGACATTTCATGGGCTATTTTTGTTAGCGTTCGTCTTTGAATTACATATACAGAACTAAAAGAAAATCACAGCAGAAAAATTGATTTTGTCCATAGTTTACTTACAGTAAGACGTCCTTTTTCCATAATTACCAATCCCTTTCCTTGTAGCTGTAGATAAGCTTGGATCGTCATTCAATTCTTCCATCGATTCTTCGGGAAATTTTGACGCATTCTTCAGGAACTCCCAGGCTGTTGCCTCCCTCCCCCCCCCCCCCAATCAAAAAATAAGAGAGAAGGAAGGAAATGGAAAGAAATAAGGAAAAGAGTGGATAAAGGGAAGGAAAATTGAGAAAGAAGAAAAGAAAAGAAGGGGGTATCAGTTGCAATTATGACGCCAAGAAGTTGTGGATCGGGGTGGGGTGGGACAAAAGTCCCTTGCATTCCCCGCCCCCGCTTAAAAAAAAGAGAGAAGGAAGGAAAAGGAAAAAAGGAGAGGTAAAATGGACCGAAAGAGAGGAAGAGGAAAAAAAGGG